AGAGAGAGAGAGAGAGAGAGAGAGAGAGAGAGAGAGGTTTTGTTGGGCTAGGGTTTTTAAGGGAACTAACGAGAGAAAGGGGTTTGCAACCAACGCAGGATTTATACAAAAAATTCCTGCGTTGTTGAATGAAAAGTTTACAACCCTCATTTCGAAATTTAAAATCCGAAATCTGAATCCCTAATTTCGAAATTTAAAATCCCAAATTTGAAATGAAAACCCTCATTTATGCGATACAAACCTGAATGTGGGTGTTTGATGAAGGTGTTCCTCGTTTTTCCGGTGGTGTACTGTTGGCCGTTGTTTGTTGCTTTCTCTTCGTCGTCGGTCTTTCCTTCGGAGTTCGGCTGAGTGAGGGAGAAGAAGATGGGTTGGATATCAAATACGGCTTTCGTAAGTTCAAAGGGAGAAGGGGAGCTGTTTTGTTTATAATGAAACGGCTTTTCTAAAACCGTTTTTTATTAAAAATATTTTTGGTCAAAAAGCGACTTTTCTAAAATCGTTTTTTATTAAAAATATTTTTGGTCAAAAAATATTTATGTTGAAAATTAAATTAAAAAAAAATTAATGTAAAAACGGTTTTACGAAAACCGTTTTTAATTAATTCAGAATTAATTAAAAATTAATTAAAACCGGCTTTTCTAAAGCCGTTTTCTGTGTCCAAAATTTATTATTATTTTAATCGCAAAACACGGTTTTTGAAAAGTCGTTTTCTAGAAAACGGCATTAGAAAAACCGTTTTATCCTATAATGGGAATAAAGTTAAAAACACACCCTAAGTGGGACTAAAATGCCACAATCAAGGAAATTGGCCCAATATATTGTCAGGTCCATTAACTACTTAAGTTAAAATACTAAAATACTTTTGTACATAAAGACCTTTAATGTACAAATCACATATATTTTTGTAATTTTTTAGGAGTCGAAATATTTTCTATAACTAGTTTGCTTTAATCCATTTGCAATTTTTTTTTTTTTGAACGATTAATCAATATGCAATTTACCACTTGACATTTATAAATGAGCACATAATATTTTTATGTCTTAACAGGAGTTTTACACTTATAGTTAATTTAAATGTAATATTTCACAAATTACAAAAAAATTTATGTGAGTATTTCTAAACGATAAAGAAAAAATTACAAATAAATCAAACTACAATAGAATAAAGTAAAATTTGCCACCAAAAAAAATTCAGGCACCCAAAACAAAACAAAAACAAAACAGCAGCAAAACATCAGCCCAGAACCACCATTTGCAAAAACAACCAGAGTCCCTTAACAGGGCTTTATGACTACTCAAAAATTATAGACAAAATCTCCAATATAAAATGCCACTCTCATGTTGATAAGTTTTGGAATAAGTTCCCAATTGGGTTAATCCTCATCAAAAACCAACTCACTTCAACTCTTTATGATTTGTGAATTAAAACTCATCACTGACTTTCATTAACCAATAAATCAACTTAAATGCCTTTTTCTTATTCTTTGAATTAAACTCACCAATTTACACCTGTGGTATAGATTATGCACACAAACTCTTGTCAATTAAAATTATAAACATGTGTAACTCAAAAACTACAAAGATTTCGGTAATTGTTTTAGATGACGGAGAGATTAGGTACACATAGCCAATACCACAAAAAAAATAAAGTGAAATTTGTCTTAAAAAGTTAATTATCCAAAGACTCCTTGAAAAAATATGTCATAAACAATTATAAACAATCAACCATAAATATTGCTTTAAATTTTAATAAAGCCAAAAATGACAAACGATATCCAGTGTTTTAACTTACAAAATTAAACCAAACCAAATCAAACCAAATCAAAACTTACATAACATAGAAAAAAACTAAAACAATGTTTCAAATTTTAATACAAGCCGACTACTATAAACAATCATCCATTGTTTAACTCATATAAACAAACCAAAACTTACATTACATACATAGCATAGAAAAAATAAAAATAAGACATTGTTTCAAATATTAATACAAGCCAACAAACCATAAAAAATTATCCATTATTTTGACTTCAACACTGGGAATTTTAGCACACCGTGTGGAACATTCTAACCTACAACACAGAGAAAAACAAAACAATGTTTCAAATTATAATACAAGGCAACAACTATAAACAATCATTCATATATGACAACAAAAAACACAAAATATATTAAATAAAAAAAATTATTTTCATATATACAATTTTGTATTAATACCAGTGAATATAGTATATAAATAATATTTGTTGCAATATTATTCATGTGATTTGGGAGTGGCGTAGTGGGGTGCAAGTGTTGGAAACACAGGTTCGAACCTTGGGACATCCAGCAGAGGCAACTTTTTCTTTTTTGTGAAATATGGTTTTGGCGACTAAAGGCGTTGGTCGCCGAAAGGTATACCTTTTGGTGACGAAAAGCTTAGTCGGGAAATGTTTAAATATTAAATAAAAAAATATCACTATTGGCGACTAAAAATTTAGTCGCTAAATGTATAATTTCAAAAAATGGTATTGCATTTGGCGACAATTTGTTTCGTCGCTGAAGACCTGTGAATTGGCGACTAACAGGTTTTTAGTCGCCAAAGGAATGGGCGACCATGAATTCGCGACAACAGTGGCGACTAAAAGTTTTTGTCGGGAAAAGTGAAAATTTGACCTTTGGCGACTAAAAAAGGACCTTTGGCGACTAAAAATTTAGTCGCCAAAGGTGTATTTTCTTGTAGTGATATTATTCAAATACAAGTATACGATAGCAAAAATTAAAGAATGAGAATGATTTGTTATTATTTTTCTCTTATATGGCATGATCAGGTTATCAATGTCTACCTTAGTATTTATTTTCTAATAATAATATGAAGACAACTCAAAATAAAATTATTTATATAATATATATAACTAAGTTTGGTCAAGTCTTAAACCAAAAGCTGAATCAATCCTATTAGATCTACCCAAAGTAGTCAAAAACCCGAACCAACCCAATCCCATAGAAGTCGGGTTCGTTTGGTTCTCAAGTTTATTTTTTTAATTTATTTATTTATTATTATTTTTGTCAAGTCTTTTTGCACCCCTAGTCTTCACTATGTGAGGTGGTGCATTAGGGAAAATCATTATTTATGTGGCACCTTGACAAATAAAAATCACAAAACAATTTTGATAGATCATCTCTTGTCATTATTTAAGAAAGGTGAGTTAACATTATTGCACCTGTAAAGTTTTTCGTTACATCATTGATTTAGAGCATCGCGTGAACAATGTTACTTGATATTTTGAGATTACTAAATAATTATCTAGTACATGACCCTCTTGAATATATATATATATATATATAGATAGATAGATAGATATGATGCCAAAACATTAAATGTAGTCCACAATTTTCCAATATTGATTTATGTGCAGAATTTGAAGCAGAATCAATTTCAAACCCTTTAGACTCCAATCAACAAAATGCTAATAGCAAAAACTATTCAATGAGAAGTTTAACTATTAAATGAAATCAAGAATTTTGTTAAATTGACAAACTTCACAGATGGTTCTATTTCAAGAGTTTAATTTCATGGGTGGACAAGCAATTTTACAAAATAAAGAAATAAAGAATATTTCAGAATCAAAGTTAGCAATGCTGGAAATCACTGTCATGCATAGCCATCTCTCATTCAAAAAATTGCTGAAAATCGATAAGTAAAAAGATATTAAAAATTAGCAATGCTGGAAATATTTGCTATCAATCAGACGGTTTGGTTGATTTTTTTAAAATTTGTAAAAGTAAAATAATAGAAAAATCAAAATAAAAAACACTTATCGTTTTTCATATGGTTTTCTATTTTTGAAAATCTGAAAATATTTTTTAAATATTTATTTTTATCAAATTAGTTTATGTTTTTTGAAAAAGTAAAAAAAAAAAAAAAAAATTTGAAAACCCAACCAAACAATTTTTGTTTTGTTGGAGATAATGATATTTTTATATTTATGTATTTATTGTAATATGGGGTACCTGGCAATTTGACTGCGGTGGGAATCTCCAGAGTTTATCACTCATCATCATCCGTGGACGTAGACTTGAGGAATGTGACTCAAGTGGGGCCAATATTTTCCTTTACCCTTTTCACATTTCCCTGTTAGTTTCCAACTTCCCCATATCGACAATGTATTCAGTGAGGAAGGCAGCCTTTGCACTGGTAAAGATTTGGGCCTAGGGTAACCACCGATATAAAGACTGATTACAGAGGTGGGCAGCAACATCCCATCTATCGGAAAGCTAAAACCCACCAGATCTTCTTCTTCTCTGCCTGAAATCAACAGTGTTGTAAGAGAGGATAAACTGTGCAAACCAAGCTTCTTGAAGTTGTTGTTCCAATGTGAAATATTCATCTCCAGTAAATGAAGAGAAGTGAGGTAGTTGATGGTCTGCAATCCGTGTGGCAAGAGCTGCAAGTCCTTCAATTTTTTGCATCCCCTGACATCCAATTCTCTCAAATTCGTTGCGGAGTAGAACCATCCTTCCGGAATGGACTCCAAATTCTTACACCCATACAAGAACAAGTGACTGAGACTATTATTATTAGGAAGGGCATCTGGCATGTATTTGAGCCTATCACAATCATAGATCGAAACAGACTGAAGAGATGGACAGTTAATTTTCATCCCCTCCTCTACTAGCAGTGCCTCCAACTTTTTACACCAAAAAAGCTTAAGCTATTTGAGTGTGGGTGGTAGCCCCCCATCTCTCTGCACGATATCAAGCACGTAAGGGATGGACAATTATGAACCTCTAATACTTCAAGATTATTGTCATTAATCTGCGTTATCCACCTGAATAAGGATTCCACAGCCTCACAATCACGTATCTTGAGTCTTTTTAGCGTGCACGGAAACCTGTCTCTAGAAAAGAGCCGAGACTTGGACACGTACGCGCTGTTTAGTTGGTAGATTTGGAGAGGAATTTGGAAACGGAAAGGGAAAAGGCGTGTGAAACTAGATCAAATGTAGGTATATTTTATTCACATTTCACATTCCTTTTCCATTTCTCTTTTTAAATTCATCTTCAAATCCCCTAACCAAACACAACATTATAGACATACAATTCTCGAAGAAAAGTGAGGGTATGTAGCAGCCGTGGCAGTTTCTCCAGCTTTTCACAATTATCTATTGTTAGATGCTCAAGCCTCACTATGCAAGGGAGTCCCTCTTCTTGTTGTTGCTGATGTTGGTCTTCATCATCCTCATCTTCTTCAAACAATGAAATAAGCTGGGGATAACCTTCAATTTCTAAATGTCGGAATGCAGGGAGACTATGTTGCACTCTCGCCACATTCGTCCACAATGTCTTAAGTTCTTCACAGCTAGTAATCTTCAAGGCTTCAAGCTCCATCGGCCCATGAGGAACCCATTTCGGCAAGAGCACAAGTTTCTTGATCATCCCAATGCTCAAGGAAGTTATTGAACTCGGATGCTTAGACTTTGCATTTGCCGATATCACTTCATCAGCAACCATACTCCTCATCTCAGGGACCACCTGAAGGCTTGTTAGAGGAACGTCATTCATGGCTATGGAGGTGAGTGACGGGAGACGAATGCTAGAACCTTCAACTAGGAATTGCGGGCACCTCGTAATCTCTAGATTATTAAAACACGGTAGATCATTGGGCAACATTCCAACAAGTTTGGGACATTTTATTATAGAGAGCTCACTAACACGAGTGAATGGTTGAACTTGCTTGTGATCTCCAAAAGTAAACCAATACTCCTATTCTGGCATATTCTCAAAGCTTAGAGTCTCCAATAATGGAAAACGTTGAACACCACTTTGCCCGTAGAACTCACAACCGATATGCTTTAGTGCACTCATACCTCCAATGTAAAGCTTTGTAAGGGAGGGTAGATGTCCGAGTGATGGCAAGAATTCACAATTTCCACAATTTTCTAAACTTAGGTGAGCCATATTGGAGAACAAAGCATCTCCTATCCAAGTCGGAAACCTTGTACCAAGGTAGCCATTGGCATGGAGCTCTTTTAAATTCTTGTGAGGTTGTTGCATGTCAAGCACTTCCGTTTCAACTCTTCCATTTTGTGAATCATTTGAATCTACACTCCATTCCATCGATAACACATTTAAGCCCTGCTTCTCATTTAACTTTGCCTCATTTGCATCTAGAGGATTCACCACGTTCTGTAACTTAGATAGTTTTGTACGAATCCCTGTGGTAACCTAGTAGGGACTCGTACAAAACTATATGAAATTAACAAATTTTAACCAGCAACTTAACTAATCAGTCAATTTTATCAACCAACCAGTCCAATCCAACTCACTCACCTTATTAAACCACACAGGCTGAGTTGGTGTGAGATGTCTGGTTTTTAGCACACCCTTACACATAGCCACCCTTTCACCAAAAAAAAAAAAAAAAAGACCAAACCAACACAGCCCAACAAATAAAAAATAAACAACAACAACAACAACAACCAAACTAACATGGCCCAACAAATAAAAATAAAAAACAACGATTTGAGGCATTTGAGCCTCGATTTGTCGTGGCCCCAAGTATGGAATACCATAAAGTTGCACACAGTAAAGAGGTAATGTGATCTAAAAAAATGTAGTTTAGATCTAAATAAGTGTATTTTTTGGATGATCTAAATAAGTGTATTTTTTGATTTTTTACGAAAAGATGTGCAAAAAAGTGGAGAGGTAATATGATTTAAAAAAAGATAAAAAGTGTACTATTTTAGTACACCCCAAACAAGCTCTTAACTGAAATTTTATCTTTTCACTAATAATTTTGTGAGATAAACCATTACTTACGGTTGTATAAAATTTAGAACAAAATTGAACCAGGTAAGGTTATTTAGCTGTCATGTTTGATTTTCTTTTAGTTTTCTTCTCTCTCTCTCTCTCTCTATATATATATATATATATATTGGTAAATGATATTGTAACAAAATTAAAAATGCAAAAATTAAATTATTTAAATTAAAATTATGATAATTAAAATGACATTTTACTTAGGCTACAGAACTTAATAATTAAATTTTTTTTTTCTCTTTTTTGTAAGAGATAACCTGGATAATACTCTAAATAACGGAAAATTTAAAATACAAAATGAACAACACTCTTCAATATAAATTGAGGACTAAATTTTTTATTTTTTATTATTTTTACGAAGATTTGCTTGACAATCATTAAAAAAAATATATCATTTTCACCATAGTTTTTTTTTTGGCCTTGATTTGATTTGATTGTTTCTTTTATTTTCTTATCTTAGGTTGCAAGTTGATAACTTGGCAACCGGTAGCCCTGGATCTTCCCTGGAATCAAGATAGGAAAATTTATTGGGTAAATTAAATTGATAGCTTTTGTATTTTGTCTCGTATATTATTTTGATTCTCACATTTTTAATTGATTTAATTTTAGTTTTAATTTTAAATTTTGTGTCAATTTAATTCAGTTGACAACGCCAACTAATGGTTTTGAAGTAAAATGGTTAACGAGATGATTGAGATTGAGAAAATTTAATTTTATCCCTAAAAATGTAACTTCATGTTACTCGTATGCGTGCTTTTCATAATTTTTTTTTTAAAAAAAAAGTTAATGATTGTAGTCAATTAAATTAAATTTAAATAATAAAAAATTTAAGATGAAAATCAAATTAATTAAAATTACAAAATCACACCCACCCAAACTAAAGAACTGTAGTTAAAATTTGCGCATGTATTTTGTAATGAGTAATGGTGTTTGTTTGGTATGCATGACGCTTTCTCATATCACACACAAGCATATCATGCCAATTACTCCTTTTTGTGAATGAAATGTTTCTCCCCTCCCTTTTTCTCTATGAAATTTTTGTAGATGAGTTTCGTATCTATCTTTGTAGAAAAAAGTATCAAAATTTACAAATTTTTATCAAATGATTTTGCATTATAAGAAAGTGAATGTTTACACATTTTTTATTGAAAGGATTTTTTAGTTTCAATATAAAAAAGGGTTGTTCCCAAAAGAAATTATCAAAAACATTTTATTAAACAATTTTCATATCAAGTTCCGATTTTCTTTTTTAGCAAACAAAAATGCTAAAAAGGTCCGATTATTTAACAGGAGCTTTAATCAGGAACATGTCCAGAATTTAAACTTTAGAGGATAAAAAAATGTCACTTTTCATCAAAAATAAGTATTGTAAACTTTTAAATTTTAATTTATACCAACACAAAAAGTGAATAATATTATTATTAATTGAATATTCTTTATCAACATAATTGAGAACAATGATATAATCAAACATATTTTTTTTTATTTGCATTAACTTAACCAAAATTGTAACTATTATTTTATCTACTCTTTGTCTAGTAAAGTTAATTATCTAAATATATATATATATATATATATTTCGAACTTGAGAATTTGCAGGTGAAATGACTGAGAAACTGTAAAGAAAGGTTATCGACCACAGATAAGGAAACTGTAAAGAAAGGTTATCGACCACAGATAAGGTAGACACCATTACTATGATTTATACATGAGAGACTTGCTTAATGCTTTTTTTCACTATTTTTTTTTTTATAATTTTTATTGATAATTTCTTTGTCACTACTTTCTTCTTCCCGTGTGAAACCACCATTATAATAATTCACTTTCACCTTATTTTCATACTCTATTTGATGTTATATTTGTGAACATCAAAAAGCATAAGAAAAAAAAAATACAAGAAAAGAAAGAAAGAAAAGGACAAACAGATAAGAAGAAATAGATTGTGAACACAATAATTAAAGTGTGCGGAAATAAAGGTGGAAATAAATTATAATGGTGGATCTTACCACAAGAAAAAGAAAGTAGTGGCAAAAGCATTTACTAAAAAACAAAAGAGTAAGGAAAAAAAAGAGTGATACTATTAACATCTTATCAATTATTTTGGACTTTCATTCTTTGGACTTCTACTTATAAATTTTAAAACTCTTAAAATTTCTTTTCTCCTCTTAAGTAATATCAAAATTATCCTTGTGAAAATGTTACACTTATTCAATTAAATGTACACCCCCACAACTCAAAAACTCTCTCTCCCAAAATGTAACGCCTTGAAAATTGGGCATGATATATCTATTTATGCAACAAAACTCACCTGATAGACAAACACATATATATAGCTAACTAATCCATACAGCCATTTCCATTAAATCCCAAATGCCAAATACATATTGTTCACATCTCAATGCCCCAGTTCTAATCCCAAACATGCATTTTATAACAAGTATGAAATGGAAGCCAAACAAATAATAAGTGTCCTACAGGCTTACAAATTTATCCAAGAACATTCTTGGTTACACAAAATGAAGTTTTAACTCAACACAAATACAGCCCTGGGCTTACAAAACAGAGTCATGCAAAATGAGAGCATTGTACTCTCAACACACATACTTCCACGCCCCTAGTTGGGTGGAATCACTACATCTTTTCCTGCACAAAAATCCCGTAGGGTGAGCCTAAAGCCCAGTAGAAAATTCTTAACAAAGTATATACATTTTATACAAGTGTCAAGAGATGAAATGCACATGCCATGCTATGCCCTTTTTGAAGATAAATTACATTTTCATCTTTTGAAAACCATCATGCTCAATGATGTCATGCAATTTCAATTGTTCAAAACTTAACAATTTATTTCAAGGGCGGTAAATACGTCTCTGGTAATCCCTAGGCTGGTGTCTGGAAGTAGACTATACGAGTACTATCAAATTGTCTTTTTTACCGGTATTAACCGGAAGGCTCGACACCTATCCGCGCGGATTTTTCGGTCTTTCACCCCGGACCCTCAGGCCAACTTATTCAATATCATCTACGCCACCTATCAAGACTTACCAACATATTTACCCCAAAACCATTTCATGAAAACTTATTTCTCAACATTCTTTTCTCAATGCAAGTTTTCAAATCAAGTTTTAAAGCTCTTCATTATCAAATGAATTGATATGTCAATGCAATAATTAATAATGCTATGCAATATTTCTTTCACTTTCAATGCTTCCACACAATATTCTCATTGTGATCAAAATTCTCATTTCTCACTTCAATGCAATTTCACAAGATGAATAAATACTTTTATTTCAATTCATCCAAGGGATAACACAATTTCCTCTTCTCAAGTATTCTCAACAATTTAGTCATTTCAAGACTATATCAACATTCTGAATAACCATTTCTAAAATGAACAACAATTCTCATAATCCATAAAATTAATCATTTATACAAATATAAATAAGAAATTTTTTAAACATCATTTATTTTGGCACACAAAAATAAATATAACAATATTACCCATGGATTTTCAATCTCTTTTTAAAATCCCCAATTTCTAGGTTTTCTCACCATACCACACAGCTCAAATCTTTTGAAAGAAAACTCTCGAAAATCATCTTTTCTTCAATCAACAAAGATCAAAACCCATAAAATTATTTTAAAAGAATAAGAGACAAACCCACTTTCAAAATCGCTCAACTTCTTAAATCAAAATAAATCTTCAGAAGCTATCAAAGGATGATTTCGAAAACCACCTAGATCTTGCAAAAATATATATACAACTCAAAGAAAATCCCTACCTCAAGTTTTGAAGAAGAAATGAGATGAAACCTCTAAAATCAACGGTGTCGAAGCTCAACCCCCGTAACTTG